AAGTTTTAAAAGGCTTGAGTTTAAAGTGCTTAAATATGTAGATAAAAAAATTAAACTAGCAGACCATAAACTCCTCAAGGAAGGTACCACATATTATTTGTTGTTCTATTTTCTCTAGCACTTAACAACATATGGTACATAATAGTCACTTAGTAAGCATTTGTTGAATGGAAAAATGAATGAATAGCATTCCCCAATGTACAAATGGTTATACTCCAAATTTGCATTTTAAGTTGATTGTTTAGAACTTGGAATACATTTTCCAATAGAAACAACAGTACTTGTAATGTTTAGGCTCACAGGTTAGCCTCTCCCCTCCCCCCTCCAAAAATCTCAAAACTCTGCTGAATCCATAACATACCTGAAGTTTTCCACTAGAATCATCCTCTGACGTCTCTTTATAGTGTACAGATAACCTGTGTTTTTTAAAGCTGTACCAGAAGAACACAAGCTTGAAAGGCTTTGGATATACATCTGAAGCCATACTGTATGTCTCTCATCCAAGATGCTGCTTAACTGAAAGTGTTATCTGAGAAGATTGCCTACCAGATGATGAATTTAGTGGCCACAGGAATTCATGAAGACCCTTTACTGAAGTGTGGAGGAGTCATAAGCATATGTCTGTGTATGGATTACCTCCAAGGATGAATAACCTCCAATGATACTCCCTATGGTTTCTAGAATAAAGTGTAAGCTTATGGGGTAATAATACCTACTACCTAAAGGATTCATCAGAGAAATTGATGGGTGAAAAAGATAAGCTAGTTCCAAAGGAATAAAGTAAAACTCATCAGAGAAACGGATGGGTGAAAATGTTTAAGGCAGTTTGTGATTTGGTGACAACCTTCACTTCCAAGATGAATTTCACCTTATTCTCTTTCCCAAATTCTATGTTCCAACAGAGGTAGACTACTCACTGTTCCCTGAACTTGGCATTCCATAGCTCACTTCCATCCATTTGCACAAACCGTTACCAAGTTCTCAAAAGCACTCCCTTCAAGTCTGCCCAGAATCCTTATCTTCTTTCAAGGCTCAGCACAAATAACTCCTTCAAGAAGCTCTTCCCCAGATCCATCCCCACTCTCCTAAGTTTCGAGTGAAGTCTACAAGTTGTATCTTCCTTTCCCATAGTAGAAATGGGAACTCTGGAAGGACTGTGGGTGTTTGTTTTTGTTCTTATATCTCCAGTTCTTCTCAATGTGCTTTGCACATAATAGGTACCTTAACATGTTTGTTGAGTTAAATCATTTGTTAAACGAAATCACAGATTCTTGATAGTTGAAGAAGCAATACTTGAAGCATAAAACTGTAATCATAGTATCACAGTAACTCACCACCATAAATAACAATGTTTTATGGGCACACTTGGAATGCTGGTACCTCATCTCCCTCCATGCAAATCTGGCAAGAGGAACTCCCTTCTCTATCTTTCCTACTGAGCAGTTTGAATGGTGCCCACTTAAGGTGGTTCCTGTGTTCTGGAGCAGGATTTCAATTAGGGTAGGAGGAAGGACTAGAAGGCAGGGCAATAGTGTCATGTCAAGATGGTTTCTAAGGTTGTCAGAGGATTAAGAGTTAGGGTGGGGGCTCTGGTGCAACAACCAGAAATGGGAACTGAGGGAAGAGTAAGAAAATAAATGACCAGTGGGTACTTGGGATAGTGAAGGAGAGCAGAAGCTGGATGAAATTATTCATTCAGGAAGAATTTGGAGGCAGAGGAATTAAGTCAAAATCCCAGTTCTTCAACTCATTGGCCTTGAGTGGGCACTTAAACTCTCTGTGCCTCAGTATTTTTAGCTGTAAAAGATTAGGGTTAGCCTACATGGCTTCCAAGCTTCCTTTCAGCTTTACATCTATGGTCCTAGGAGTCAAAGCATCAAGGGAGGAGTAGGTGGGGGTCAGCAGAAAGATCTATAACAACAAGGAGTATGGAAAAGGAAGAGAACAGGGAAATTCCCAGGAATGGTAAGAAGGGAAGTAGGATTCCTTAAGCAGCCAGCCACCTGGTTATTTCCAGAAAGGGGTGAACATAAGTAGGCCATCCATAAATTGAAGCTACCCAGCATTTCAGAAAATATGAATGTAAATTAACTTCTATTTTTCATGAGATGAGAATATTTTGACCAAAGGCCCAAATACCCTCATTTTCCCAAACTGAGTTTAAGTACTTATTTAAAATTTAATTTAAAATATAATTTTGAGTCTCCAAATGCTACAGCTGCAAGACTTTGATAGTCAGACCAGTGGTTCCAAGCTTCGAGAAAAGTAAAAAAAAATTTTCATCTCAGCATGAAACGCAGGGCTAACAATATTCCCTGGTCATGTATCTCCTTTTAAAGTAGCCATAAGAAAAAAATTGATGCCATATCTGAGATGGAGTTTTTGGAACAAGGAGCTGTCAGATAATAATGATAAAGTTACTTGCCTATTATCAGATCCAGCATTAACACATTTTTAGATACAGAGACCAACTGTGATGGTAAAGAATTTCCTATACTTCTCTTGGCCTTTAACCTTCAAACTGTTAGTAGATCTTTCATTCCCACTGTGCCTTAATAAAACATCAATTGTGTGGGAAAACAGCTTACTACATTCTTAAAACACAAACACACACACACACACACACACACACACACACACAAGCCATTAATTGATCCAGCATGTTGGCAGTTCTAGAGAACGTTATTAGACAGGAACGAATAATACAATGGATTTGAGGTTGAATCAGAGGCTGATTTTAAGACTCCAGGCATGGGTACAAGCTAAGAAAGTATTCCGCTTTGGTTATTAAAGACTTTTTTTTTAAGTCATAAAGGGCTAGCTCTCTTTTCCAACTGCATGATCACTACCTCCCCTTGCCCAAATGATTAAATATTACTGAATTATATTTGGCTTATGAAAAGTGCAAAAAAGTTGCAATGCTTTCATCATAAAGTTTATTGAGAGGCCATGCAAGTGGATAGAAGGCTAGAACTGCAGTTAGGAAGACCTAAGCTCAGATCCTACCTTATGAATCAGAAATCTTGACCTGGAAGGGACCCCAAAGAGCATCTAGCACAATCATCTCATTCTACAGATGAGAAAACTGAGGCCTAGAGTGGTTAAGTGACTTGCCCAAGGTCACAAAGGTAATAAGCATTACAGATAGGATTTAAAACCAGGTCTTCTGATTCCCAAGACAGCACACTTTCCATCATGCCAAGCTCCAACTGACAGAGAAATTACTAATCTTCTCAGTGCCCAGTGTGCATCAGTGAAGGAAGCTTGCATGCCTGAAGTTACCTGCACCGATAAAATCACATATCCACATGACAACAAACAAAAGCTATTATAACATTCCTGACGAGAAAGCAAGTCCTAGACCTAGAATATCCTTCTGAACTGTTCTGCCCCTTGCCAGTAAACAATCCCTTTCAACAATGCATGCTAAATATTTTTAAGGTTTTGCAGGCAACTAACCATTCTAAAACAAAGACCTTTTCCCCATTCATCATTCATTATGCCACAGAATATTATGTGGGAAGGCTTGAAAGTTCCCCTAAACTTACTAACCTGTTTGCTTTAAAGCCAACTACTTTCCTCATGTAAAACAGCTGGTGTTAATTTCTGGCTGGAAACCTACGGCATATCTTACTAACAAGTGATATTTTCCCTTTGATGGATATGGGCCCTTGAAATGGAAACCTGTCCTTGCAGAAGGCATTTTCTGCCTGCTTCTTCTCGCTGCCACCTTTCTTGCACCCCCCCCAACTCCTTTCAGCTGATGGCATTCCACTATATAAACCTCACTCTTTCAAATTAAAAAGATCTGTTAAAAGAGAATTTCGTTTCTTAGGTGATTCCAAGGCTCATCATGTGGGGTAGCATCTGACAACCCTATTCCTACATGTCTTTGGGAATTATGTGTACACAGCAAGGAGGAGGGGAGGAGATAGGGTGTCCTTCTCAGGAATCTCTTTATGGGCACACATAACAGGTACTATTTTGGGCTCCTGGGGCCAGTCCACTAAAACCGAATACTTTGTCAAGCCTGCTTTTTTTGTTTGTTGGTTTGGTTTGGTTTTGCTGTTTCTGCAAATGCAGATATTCTTCATCTGCAGCTACACCTGCAAAAGGGAAGTATGCTACGTTACAGGATCCCCCTGCTTTGCTCGCAAGAACTACGAAACACTTGCCCTTCCCAGCTTGCAATTAGCTCCTCACCAAACACAGCTCCCAAGTATGCTAATCCCTCCATCCTGTTGGCCTGTATGACACAACATACAGAAACTGGCCATAACTTTTATGTCTTTCAAACTTTCCTCACTTGCATCAGCTTGAGGCTGTTTACAACCATGTCTCCGTTACCAGTTTTCCTTCTGGACAGCTGAAAGGCAGCACTTCAAAAATACGCATTATTATTTGCCACTAGCTCAAGCCCAGGAGAGAAGAAAACACTTAATCTTCCAGGAAGAAATGAAACACAACCTGAAGGAACAAGTTCACCTTGGGTGCGTTGCAGGGAGAAACCCTAACCTCTAGATACCGGCGTTAATGGCTTAGGGGGAGCTTTCTACCTGATGGCGCCCAGTGACAGCTATCCCAGCTATCAGAGAGATCAGTTCTAGGGCTGGCGATCCCCAGGGAGAACTGTCTCCTGTTCTGGCCCCTCCAAATCCAGGTCTTCTTACCCATAAAGTTTCTTCATCCTTTTTCACCCTTTCCTTACCACTATTTAGAACAAACTCGGGGTCTCTCCAGATCCAGCTCTCCAATCACCCTACCGTATCACTATATGAAAGTGATCTTTGTCTTAAAAAAAGCCGGCATCAACCCCCCCAAAACTTAAAAGGCGCAGAGAACAGTCAGTAGCTTTGAGCACAGGATCTACTTTCCAGATGGAAGCAGGCGCTAGCTTTTTCTCGGAGTCTCCATCCCCAGCGCCTCCCTCCCATCCCCGCCCCCACCCCCCACCCCCTGCTTTTCCCGAGTGCCCTCCTCCCAGGCCCCCGGTCGCTCACCTGGATGGGACATCGTAGTGGTTTCGTTGGTGTTGGTCCCCACATTGTAAATGACCACCGCGGAGGCGTTCTGCATGAAAGCGTGCCGGATTTTGTCCTTGTCAGAGCAGTTACCCTTGGGGATAAGGGCTATCCAGTGCTTGACGTGGGCTGGGACGGCGAACTTGGTGTTGGGGTCGCAGGCCAGGCGCTCCTGGACGGAACTGGCCATGGCCACCCGTCCGTGGGCGTCCAGCTTGGGCGAGTGCTCGCCGTAGCGGCCACACTCGCTCTTCTCGCTGCGCAGCTCCCCGGAGGCGCCCAGCGCCCCAGCCGCCGCCGCCGCTGCCGGCGACCCCGGCTCGATGTAGGTGATGTTCACGAACGCTGTGTACCATTCCTCCTTCTCAGCTACGGTAAAGTCCAGGCACAGCAAATGCACGAAACAAAAGGAAAGCAGCCATGTTGAGAGAGCCAGACTGCGGCACGCTTGGATGAGAGACATTGCCATCTTTCTCCTCCGCCGGGCGCCCCCCCCTCCACCCGGTCCCCGCCCCCCCGCGCCCTCCCCCCACCCCCGTCCTTGCAGTTGCCGTCTCCCACCCCCTGCCGGGCTCCTGCTGCTGCTGCGGCTGGTGCTGCCGGTCTCTCCGGTGTCAGTGCTGAGGCTTCTAGGACGCGCGGCTCCCGCGGCTCCGGGCCGACTGCTATGTCCTTAGCAGCCGGGGAGCGACTGTTTCATGCTCTTCGTCCAGGGCCCGGCGGGAGGGAGAGGAGGCGCCCGGGCGTCGCTGGGGAGTCGGGCTGGCCAATGGTCCGGCTGCCGCTCTGGGCTGCTTCTCCTCCCCTCATAGGGTGGTAGGGGGAGAAGGAGAGTGCGAAGAGGCTCCGCACTCACTGCTCCAGCTCACTTGGGAGTCGCCTGCGCCTCGCCAGGGGTGCTGCTGCCCCCGAGGAGGATCGGGGAAGGGAGGCAGCCTCTCTGCGCTTCCTGCTGCTACCGCCGCCGCTGCCGGCCTCCCCAAGGTCCGCGCCGGGCTTCTTTTCCTCTTCACGGACATGTACCGGGCGGAGAGGGCTTGTCTGCCGGGCCTGGGGAAAGTAGCAGTCTTTGGGACTTTGGGGCGGACGGAACCGGCAAAGGAGAAAGCTGCGCGTGTATGTTTCCGTGTGTGTTTGTGTGTGTATGTGTATGTTTTCGTGTGTGTGTATGTCTGTGTGTATGTGTGCGTGTGTGTGTGTGTGTGTGTATAATATGTGCGCCTGAGGAGGAGCTTAATGTGATGTCAAAGCTTCGGTTTAGGCTTAGCTTGCGTTCCTCCCTCCTTCTGTCTTTCTCGACAGCAGCGACACCTGCTGGGTTAATTCAATTTTAAAAATATTGATTAAACACCTACTGTGGGCCGGGAGTCTCAGCAACTGTTCAGCAATCTATGTGTTAGTTCCCTGGGGCACCAAGAAGTATTTTGCAAAGGGTTTGAACTACACCGCGAAAATAAAATGTACCAGTCACACGAATTAACATATTGAAACACCTTAGCAAACTTTAAAATGTTATTCAAATAAATTATTGTTCTATCTAGTCCAGCCCTCAGGGACAGAACTTTCCCAAGTTCTTGTGGAAGGGGCACTCCGTGAGATATGAACCTAGCCCATCCCATGATCCTGTGCTGCCCTTCCAACCTCCCATTTTAAAATCAGACCAGTTATGTTTATTTTCCTATGGACAACACTCTATTCTTTGTGTTCATTTGAAAAAGAAATGGAATAAGACGTTTCCGCATTTTGTTTATTTGTTCTTGTTCTCATAGCTTTCAGTGGCAGATTTTCATATCCAGGGGAGGGAAGTTTGTTATTAGAGGGCATCAGTGCAGTTGTAGTTAGAGATTACAAGTCCATCAAGTGACAGTCAGCTCAGAGTATAGTTCCAGATTTGTGTTCTCGAATCTGTGATACTGGATATACTTGGTCAAATAAAGTTTCTGTTGATCACTATTCACCATTCCCTTAACTTTGAGCATCTCCTCATTCTCTGAGGAGGGACAGGAAGGGGAATAAGCATTTATGTAGTTTATACTATGTGCCAAGCACTTTTACAAATATCATCTCGTTTGATTCTCACAGCAACCCTTCAAGGCAGTCAATAGCAACCCTGCTATTACCCTCATTTTATAATTGAGTCAAACAGAAGTTAAGTGACTTGCCCACAGTCACACAGAGAGTGTTTGAGGCAAGATTCAAACTCCAACCTCCCTGACTCCAAACCCAGTGCTCTATCCACTGCACCATCTAGCTGTCCTCTTCTTAAATTATCCTGTACCTACTTATCCATTAGTATCCTACTTATCCATAAGTTGGGCCCCCTCAGTATGTCTCCCAATTCCCCATACTATTTTTTTTTTGCTTTCTGTGAGGCAATTGGGGTTAAGTGACTTGCCCAGGTCACACAGCTAGCAAGTGTCTGGTCTGTGGCCGCATTTGAAATCAGGTCCTCCTGACTCCAAGGCCAGAGCTCTATCTATTGTGCCACCTAGCTGTCCTCAATTCCCCATAATCTTAAGAAATTTCATTCAGACTCAAATTCAACCAGTGAAAATATGATTTGTGGGGAATTAATGTAGAATTATAGGCTATTGAGTTGGAAGCTACCTTAAAGATTATCTTACTCATTAGACTGTAAGCTCCTTGAGAACAGGGACTAGTTTGTTTATTCTTTTTTTCTATCTTTGGATCCCCAGTGCTTAGCACAGTTCAGGGCAAATTTTTGTTGTTGTTCAGTCAAGTCCAACTCCTGGTGACCCCATTCGGGGTTTTCTTGGCAGAGTTACTGGAGTGATTTGCCATTTCCTTCTCATTTGGCAGATGAGGAAATCGAAGCAAACAGGGTTAAGTGACTCGCCCAGGTTCACACAGCTAGTTAGTATCTGAGTCCAAATCTGAAATCAGGAAGAGTCTTCCTGACTCCAGGCCCAGACCTCTATCTACAAGGCCACCTAGCTGCCCAGGGCAAACAATAGGTGCTTAATAAATGTTGGTTGATTTGATTTGATTTGCCCAACCTTTTCATATTTTAGATGGGAGAAAGTGAAGTCCCAAATGACTCACTGGATAGCAAGGCTGGGATTCAAACCTAGCTCCTCTGACTCTAAATTCTGTGCTCTTAGCATGATGCTACACATCTGTCTCTATTGCATATTGTCCTTGTTTATTGTTCATTTTAGAGTGTAAGCATTTTCTAGGCTATTTGGTCTTATATTTGGATTAATACCTATAAGTTATTGCTGCTTAGCGTCCTGGGGGCTCAGAACCACGAGAGATTGAAGAGAGCCAGCATCATGCTGTAAGTGTTCATTCAACAAGTGGTTGGGGGGGGCAGGGAGGCCCACATATAATACACCTTTAAGTTTAACCTGCATCATTGATATTTTCTCCATCACTTTAAATCTAGAAAATCAAGAAAACAATCAATCAAGCCCTGATTTGTAACATCTGCCACTTTCCAAGGTGTAAATGCTTGCTGAAAAGTTCACAACCATCCTTGAGCTGGTTCAAGCTGATTTCAGCACAGTACTGGAGAGAAGGCACTGATCCTGCGGTCTATGGAGCAAAGAAGAAAGCAGAAGTTGATGTCACAGCCCCTAGAAATCGAAGATTTCTGCTCCCCACCCTAAAGCTCCCTCTTTCTTGGGAATCCCAGCACCATGGACTGGATTAGGGAAATGAAAATATGAGACGGAATGAGTGAAGAGAAAAATGGGAAGGAACAGAGAAGAAAAATCTAAGACGGCTTCCAAAAGTGTTGTGATAAAACCATATACCTTCAGCTATGTAGAATATACAAAATTATATGTGCTCTGGGTAAGGCAAGAGTCTAATCATTGGCACCTGATTGACAGTCTGGCTCTATGTCAAGCATGAATAAGGTAATCAGATCTATTGAGTGATGAAAAACCATGCTTTCTTCAGCATGGAAGGAACCATGCATACATGCCCTTTGTTCCATTTTTATTCAGTGATGTCTAAGGGGATACAGGATCTCCAGCCAGCTGACATTAATAAAAGTAAGATATGGCTGCCTTTGAATACCTCCTACCCACTATATGCTGATTCAGTTCTCCCAAGGGGCGCATCATCCAGGCCTGTACGGCACAGTATTAGTAAACAGAGGAAGTATGGAGCTGCCTTGATGCAATGGATAAGCTCCCAGGAGAAGGGAAGCTCCCTGAGGGGAGGGATTGTTACATTTGTTGTCATTGTGGCCCCACTATCTAGCCTAATAAGCACTTAATAAATAGTTGTTGAATGAATCAATAAGTTATTTTCTATTCTCTCCTCTCTGTAGTTTGCTTTTAAGTATTCACTTTGGAATTTTTAGTGTTTTAAATTGAAAAGAATTTCTAAATGTCTCTCTGCTTGGAGATCTTTTAACCTTCAGATTGATCATGTACTTGCTAGTGCGATGGCTTCTTGTCAGAGTAACTAGGTCTATATGACCTTGGCAAAACTTTTTTGCTTACATAGGATGGGAACCTTTCAGAAATTTGTCAGGAATATTGCCAAGCAAGCAAATGACTTATAGGGACTCCCCCCTCTTCATTTTTCTTTTACTGGTATGCGGGAGGGGTATGTCTCTGCTTTTGCGCTTACGTATTAGGCACAGAAAAGCTTTTCTAAATTTGTAGGCAAGATTAAAATACTTCTACAAGGAAATGTTTATAGGAATTCTACAAGTGGAAGTTCTTAAATAGGAGCGATGTTCCCTTGGAATTATTGGTGAGCTTTCAATCCTCCCCTAACTCAGGAATGAGCTAAAAGCTTATTTTGACGATTCCAGAAAAACTGATCTGTTTGTAATTTCCCGAACTTGGTGCCTCTCCTACCAACTTGATGTCTCTTCCCTCCTAACCCATTCCTGGAATCTACATGCTCCTCATCTCTGCCTCTTATAAGCCGTAGCAGCTTCCTTTAAACTCATGTGCCATCTCCTCTATGAAGTATTCCCTGATTATCTCCTTATCACACCCTCCTATTCAATTTAGTGTATGTAAATACATGCATACACATATATCTGTTTACAAATTGTTAGTACATTACAAACTGTAGTCAGTCATTCAGTCAACAAACTTTTTCAAGTACCTGCTACGTGCCAGGCACTGTACTAAGCATTAGTGATTTAATATATCTATGAGACATCTAGTTTGGAATATCTAATAGGCAGTTGGAGATGTGAGTCTCCAGGTCAGGAGTTAAACTAGGACTTGGATAAGTACCATATTTCACCACATAATCATCACAGATTTTATGCCTAAATTTTTTTGCAAAAAGGTAGGTGTGACCATTATGTGGAGCTTTTAAAAATTGTGCCAATGTTACTTAAAAATCATTTATTACTAAACTGTCTTTGGTGCAAGATTAGGATGCACAGAATATTTGTGAATATATGTTAAAATTTGATACTGACAATGCATGTGACTGAGAATTCTAGGCTCTCATCTCACAATGCACAAGAGATAAATGTGTATCCATATGCCAGTGGTGAATATTTTGCT